TAAACAAAAATCAATGTGCTTACCTTTCGTTCCACCAGTGAGCCTGAAGGCCATGAGGGAGCGGATGATGCCAAACACCTCCATGGTGAGCAGTGTGTGGACCTTCCCTGTGTTGGCATCAGGACGCAGCAGTTCTAGAATCTTTCCTCGGGAAACAACAATCTCCTGCTGTTTTGTGCCTAGAGAGAAAGGAAGCCATGCAGTGATCATTTGATGTCCAATATACTATAAAGCTTAAACAAAAGTTAGACTATACAATTGACAAGTATGTAAAAAAACGAATTATTTATGCTCAATAAATCCATAAAAGTAATGCTTTTCTAGAACTGATCAGCTGTTACACATTCCTGTTCGTTTCTTTCAGTTTACATAGATGAAGATTACAAAATCATACAATACAGCTGTATAAACTGAGCATTACTTTTTGGGGTGTCTAACAAAAAAGAAGTAAAAGTTAACAGGATACCTGAGAAGTTGCCATGGATGGCATGAGTAATGCCAGTCGCACGCTGCAAGGTGAGGTTGTACAGAAACATTGTAGATGTCTCTGGACCCCTTAGGCTTGGATGTAGAAAGTTGTTGCTGCACCTGCAACCCCGAAAAAAACTCTCAGCCGAGTTCAACATGCAAGAAATCACAACACAGTCTAACCTTTATTAGCTTGCATAAGTCTCTCTGTAAACTAACGGCCATTTTTTTAATGGCAACTACAGTACCCGCAAAAATGTATGCTATTCCACAAACACTGACGGTTTACGTCTGCAAACAACTGCTAACTATTCCACTAACTATGTCAAGCAAAACAAAGAATTGCAGAACTTTTACTGAGACAACAACTCGTATTGTGAACTCTCTCTTCAGGCTCGCTACTTAGCTAATGTACGAGTTCGTTAGCGTTAGCTGTAGCTAGCAGGTTTGTCTACCTAATTTGGCTACCAAGAAAACGCTCCATTTGCCAAGAAAACAACTGGAAAACATAAAGGTAACATGTACAACAGGCTAACAGATGTCGGGGATTTTTCTTTTCCAAACTGATCGACTTTTTCAGAGTTAACGTCCTGCGAGCTTCCCATGATTCACTCTGTCTTACCTAGCCTCTCAGCTAACGGCGCAGCCGGACATAACTCGTTCTTTTGTGTCGTATTGACAGAAATTTATCAATAATATTGTTCTTTGATTTGTGTTTGTAGTGTATTAAAGGTGTTTACCGATACAGAAGTCAGGATGGTGCAGATTTCGACACGATGAAAAACTTTTTGTCGGTGTTTGAGCGTTTCGTATTTTAAACGCCGCTCAAACGATTCGGGTCCTTCAAGCTCGAAGTCGCGTGTAATAGTAGCCCTACCGTTTGCCTGCGGTGAAATGAAGACAGTGGACTGAACTGTTTTGCACATATTTCATTAAAATTTTACCTTAATTTCGTTTTATGTTAAGTTTACTTTAGTACATCAATTTATAAAATAAATGAATATAAGTGAATATTTTATTTATTTAAGAGAAAGGTGTTTACAGCAATCAAATTTAGAAACCACAGCGCTGCCGGAGTGATTAACGTTACACACACGATAGGAAAAAGAAAAAACTGAAGAAAAAATAATACATAAATTAGTTAGTTAATTAATGAATTAATTTGAAAATACTCTTTATAAATGTTTAAGATGCCTTTGGGATTTCACAGTAGTATTTTTATACATATTTAGTTAACTTATAAATAAGGGGAAACAATGTTTTATGTTTCTAAATGAGCATTTATGACTGAAAATTTGGCTATAAAAAATTAAGCTTTTATAAATAATATTTACAAACTTTGTCTATTTAATAATCATGAAACACAAACATTTATGAAATAAAATTCACACAAATACTAGTTAAGTGTTGAGAAATCCAGGAAATTTATGTCTCCACTTGTGTTTGTGTACATGATAAAAGATTTCTTAATATAATGTATGAAAATGATGTACTTGTTAGAATAATGCTGGTGAGGAGAACTTCTTTCTGTACACAGACCATCTTTGTCTTTGTTGTAAAAGCACTTAATATGCATATGTGAGGGAATGTGCTTGCGTCTGCCTGCTTTCCTTTGGGATGTCCTGCTGTGGTTTTTAGTGGGGAAGCGGATGACAGGCAGAGCAGGACGCCTTGCCGTTGTAATGACTGAAACCGCTTGTTGCCTTGAAACTATTTTTTTCTTATCTTGTAAGGGACTCTGTGTGATGAAGCCCTTATGTAATATTGGCTGTTAAAATGCTGTGTCTGCTGTAAAACAAACTCACGAGAGATCAACTCCTTTTTTCTTTCTAAGCGAGACGTTCCCAGAGCTATGTAGAGGGGGAGTGAGGACGAGTGCACAGGCCAGGGTGGGATGAAATGAGAGAATGAGACGAGTCAAATTTCTTTCAGTACTTTTAATGTACTTTATAATGTTATTTTTCCATATGAAATTACGTAACATGTTATCAACTGCTTTGGAAAGAGTTTTTAGCAATGTAGAGAGAAAGAGCCACATACATTAACCTTAATAAACTTTGCATCAATCAGCCATAACATTAAAGCCTCTTCCTTGTTTCTACACTCATTGTCCATTTTATCAGCTCCACTTAGTCCATGTAATACATCTGTTTCTCTGCATTCTTTGCTAGCCCCCTTTCACTCTGTTCTTTAGTGGTCAAGACCCCCACAGGACCACCACAGATCAGTCATTATTTGGGTGGTGGATTATTCTCAGCACTGCAGTGACAATGATGCGGTGGTAGTGTGTTAGTGTGATACAAGTGGTACCAGCAGTGCTGCTGGAGTTTTTAAACACTTCAGTGTCACTGCTGGACAGAGAATAGTCCACCAACCAAAAATATCCAGCCAACAGCGTCTTGTAAGCACTGATGAAGGACTGGAGGATGACCAACGCAAACTGTGCAGAAAAAGATCAGCTACTGTCTCTGACTTTACATCTAAAAGTTGGACCAACAGGGTAGGAGTGTGTAATAGAGTGGACAGTGAGTGGACACAGTGTTTGAAAACTCCAGCAGCACTGCTGGGTCTGATCCACTCGTACCAGTGTAACACACACTAACCCACCACCACCACCACTATCACTACAATGCTGAGAATGGATCCACCACTCAAATAATACTTGCTCTGTGATGGTGCTGTAGGGGTCTTGACCATTGCAGAACAGGGTAAAGGGGGCTCATAAAATATGCAAACATATGGACTACAGTCTGTAATTGTAGAAGTACAAAATGCACCTATATGGTAAATGGAGGGAAGTGGTTTTAATGTTAAGGCTGATCAGTGTATGTTGATAAACTGATATATACACACATACGTAAATTAAGTATATGTAACATTGTCAATTTTTAATACTTACATATATAACAAACCTTTGTGTAATTATATTCTAAACTTAATTTTGTACACATGAAACTACTGAATTTATACAAATAATTTCTATGTTCCACCTTTTCTCCTTTACAAATTAAATTCAGAAAAGCTGTTGTGCTGTCCGTTGGTCTTGTGCTCCAGTGTGAGTGGTACAGGATTGTTATCTTGACATAACGAGTTAATTATCTTTTTTATCTCAATACAACAACATTGTCATCTTGTTATCTCAAGATAACAAAGTCATCTTAAAATTACAATTCAGTAATCTTGTTATCTTGAGATAACAAAACTTTGTTATCTTGAGATCACAAGATAATTAACTCATTATGTCAAGACAACAATCCAGAAAATTATAGCAACAGATCATGGCCTCTCCGGGCTTCCGTAGAGTGGACCTGATATGAGCAGCAGTGTGAGCACCAGCACTGGCCCTCAGTGTAAAAACAGTGGCGGAACTGTTGAAGTGGTCATGTAGAAGCTCGTCCTAGGACGGCGTTTTAGGGCCACTGTTACTAAAAATAAAAATAGTAGACTTCGAGAATAAGGTCGTAATATTTCGAGAAAAAAAGGAGTAATATTTCGAGGATAAAGTGGGCTAACTGAAGGGGGGCTGCCATAAGGCGTTGGGGTCTCGGTTGCTGTACTGGCACGCCGGAGTACCACTCACTCCTGTCTCTTTGTGGATCAGTTATTTTGATTATCATTCTCATCGTCCGCGAATTTTTTTCTCGAAATAGTACGACTTTTTTCTCTAAATATTACGACTCTATTCTCGAAGTCTCATATTCTTATTTTTATTAACAGTGGCCCTAAAACGCCTTCGTATCGTCCACACGATGGCGCCCTTGTACGTGTAAATAATCTCTCATGGTATTCAGGAGGGTGGTGGTAAGCAAACGACTGACATCTTGCCCTGCTGGCTGTGGACCACCAGTGGAAAATGGACTTTTTCCCATCGCATTACCGACTGAATTAGGCCACCGTCTTTCCACGCAAACACATGTAAAGCAACAAAACCGAACTGCTGACCTTCATCTACATTATTTACAGGGATGTAAACCGTTGTTCTACATTAAAATAGGAGCCCGAGGTGGCTTCGCTCTGAACAGCGCTCACACACAACACCGTGGAGATGTTTCACAAAGCGGTTAGCTTCAATCCCCAAGCCAAGCCTGTCCAACAGGGGAAGATGTAACTCAGCATTTCTATTGGACAATTATTTTGTCTGTTGTTTGGTTTATTAGAAAACTCCGCTTTGTTTTATACCATCATGTGTGTAAATGTGAACGCATGCCTGGAATTTACCACCAAATTCACGTCGTGAGCGAAATCAGTGCCGTATCATCACAGAGCTCAGTGGTCTCTCATAAAGACCCTCTGTGCACAGTGCATTATGGGAGTTGTTGTTTCAAAACAATGTATGCATAGTTTGCTGTTTTCATGTCTGCGAAATGTTCGAAACGTCCTGCTGTGGAGATGTAGAATTAGGGACATTTTAGGGATCCTCTCGGTTTAACTGTGTTCATTTGAATAAGGGCTTGGTGAAGGTCGACGGTGGAGTGAGCAGTAAAGAACTACATTTCCCAGCATCCTCCTGGGTGAGTTTGGGGAATGCAGGGTGAGGGTATCTTTTTTCGGGGGTGTTCTAAAGCAGTGCTGCCTAAAAAATTCAGGCAGTATTTTCGCCACGCAGGGAGTCCACGCCGCGTTACAGGCCGCCACACACAAACCGATAGCTCGTCAGGAGACAGCAGAGCGGACAGGAGAGCAGAAATCTCCATCACATCTGGACGCGGCGGCTACGTAGACGCTGTACTGGACACGAAACCTCGCCTACCAGCTGAGGATCCATGTGAATATTCATATGGCAGCTGAGTGCTGCTCATGTAGCTTCAGATTCAGAATGAAACAGAAGCGTTCACACGGCTGAGAGATGATGGGCTGCTTTGATTTGCAGCTGGGTCGGTGCTGTATTTGATATTTGAAGAAAAAGAGGAAAGAAGAGTTTTGCATGCTTGATACGATTTGCAAGGTAAGGAGTTGGCTTCATATGATTGATATGAAATGAATTCGTGTCCAGTGTTCGCGCTGGTTCACACTGCAAACTTGTGTAACATGTGCTACATCACTGATTCCCCTGCGGTCATTATTCGTATTTCTGTGGACGTTTGCATTAAGGTCGTGGTTCTGAACGGGGAGCTTTTCTGTGCACTGTGTGTCCAGGATGCAGTCCTCCATGGAAAAGGCTCTGCCTTCCCCTTTGTATCCCCCCTGTGTAATTTATGTGGGGGTCTCAGGCCCTGAACTCCTGCCGGTGTGCCAGCGTTGCTAAGAGACAGCGGGGCTGCAGCACAGGACAGGGGGGATTTGCATGGGGCTGAAGTGGAGGGCTTCTTCATGGTCACCCATTTCTGTGCACTCTTCTCTCTGTCTTCTTCTTTCTTTTGTTTTTTTCTTCCTTTTTGTCTTTCTATCTTTCTTTCTTTCTTTTCTCCCACCCCATTCTCCTCTGCTTCCTTTTCTTCGTTTTCTTTACTTTTCTCATTCTCCTCTCTCTCTCTCTCTCTCTCTCTATTCCCCTCTGCTTCCCCATCCTTTTTTGTTTTCCTTCTCTTCCCCCTCTCTCAGTCTCTTTCTTTCTCTCTCTCTCTCTCTCTCTCAATCTCTCCGTATTCCCCTCCTCTTCCCTGTCTTCACTTTTTGTTTTCGTTCTCTTTTTCTCCCCCCTCAATCTCTCTCTCTCTGTCTCTCTCTCTCTCTCAGTCTCTCTTCCTCTCTCTCTCTCTATTCCCCTCTGCCTCCCCCTTCTCTTTTTCCTTTCATTCTTTTTTTCTTGCCTCTATTTCTCTTGTTGTCTCTCTTCTGCTCTTTATTCATTTTTTCCACTCTCTTATTGTATAACTCACATACAGACCAGCGCAAATTCATTTTGACCATTTTGCCATTGTCTACATTTCAAATGCAGAACCTGGCCAGACACCTCATATTCTGTAAATATTCAAATGATCCAGCTGTTCTAAACTACAGGTTTATGATAGGCCGTGTGAAACACCTGTAGACTGAAATGATGCTTCAGACGAAACAGTTTTAAGAGGTTTTTCCAATGTTTATCCTCTCATCAGTTAGATGAATATCATTTAGATAAGCTTGTTTCTCAAGGGACCGGCTCTGTACCTTGATATTAATCTCAGTTGCTGTTTCCCGTGGAGCATTCAGTGTCAGCCCTTTCGTGCGTGAGAAATCTGACATCGTGATTTGTGTATTCTGGTATTCTCATGTCTGTCATCACAATGTCATATCATAATTCAGATGACAAAGTAGCATTTGAAAAGTGTTGATTAGTTTCTCAGATTCCTCCTTAGAATGTGGGTTAGGTTGCAGTGCTGTGTAAAAGAAGACTACTTTCTGCAAGACTGCTGTGTCCTCTCACGTTTCATTACAGTGTCACATTCTGTTGAGTGGAAAATTGCATTTGGTTTATCTTTAGTTTATCTAACAGAATGAGTTTCCCATTACACATTAAGAGTAATATTCACTCAGTTATTCCTGTACTATCTTGTGTAAATCCTTAGCACAGCTGGAAGGCCAGGTTTCGGTACTGCAACAACAAAACAAAATATTTCATTTTGTCAGCATCAGGGGTTCTAGATTGTTTCCACTGAAATGGATCAGTTTCTAAATATTCCATGACCTTTCCTCACTATATTGAGATGTAGCACGCACAGCCTCGAAGGAAGTTGCTGATAGTAGATTCAGAATTAAATTTTTGTATTCACAGCCTCCTGAAAAGCCAGCTGCTGTTGAGAAGGTAGTGCACTTCCTTCCAAATGTAAAGGAAAGACCATCGACTGGCACATAAAGCATCCCTGCATTGTGGAGATAAATCACCATTGATTGTATCTGAAGTACATTTGTCTTTACCTAATTAGTTACACCCATTCTCAGTGATATAAAGTAAAATGGAAATCGCTATTGGGATTAATTGCATGACTCGGGTGATGCAGACCTCTTTCAGCCCACGATTTGTTAAGATAAATGAGATAGAGAGTGGACACATGTAGTCAAACTGAATCTGCGTTGACCCACCGAGCTAAGGGCCAGGCTCAAGTGGAGCGTTCTGCTGGAGGACCGTACCCACAGAGTGGAATATCTCCCAAAGGCATAACAGAGGACCATCTATTTCCTGCCACTCTGCTGGGAAATTATGCACAATGCATGTAATGTGGCACTGTGCTGAAACCATGTTATGAATAAATCAGTACAATGAATATTAGCCACTCAGGCAGCTGTATGTATCTGGAACTGTATTCATGAAAAAAAAAAACTAGTGGAAAGGGTAAAAATAGGATTTTTGCTGTTCAGAATGAACATTTGCCAGTTCTATTTGACTGAGGTTCATCAACTCTTTCTGTAACTAGGCTAATGCAGCACCTGGGGAGTAGAAAGTGGCAACAGAAGTCCTGCAGACTTAACTAGGTTAACTCTTCTCACAAATGCAGGGTGCTGTCAAGGAGCCACATATGAGAGCTCATAAATAGGTTACTCTACAGGGTACATTCTTCTATCAGGGACTCAAATAGGCTAGCTCACAGAATGGTTCAACAGCAGGGTTACCAGAGATCCATTTTTCTCAGGTTAAGCAGCTCTGGCCAGAGCCTTTGCTTTTTACAGGTCATTTTAGTGGCAATATTTTCATTGCACGTGGACCTTAATGTCAGTGAAATGTCAAATAGGGCGCATCATGCCGCAGAGAAGTGTATGTAGGTCTGTCTATTTGTGTTCGAGTGCATGTCCTTACACATTCACTGGGCTACTGTGCCTAAACTGGCTCCCAGACCCAAACAGATGGGAGACTGTTTCTTGGCAAAGACATTCATCACGTCAACTTGCAGAAAATTTGATAGTGTTGTACAATCAAGCTTTTGATCCCATCAGTAAGTTTGTCCTCACCAGGAAAATCTGGTATGAGCTCTACTCAGACAGGGGTTGGAACGCAGTAGACCACTCGCACGCACGCTCATTTTAGGTGATTAAGAGGGCGCAGTGAGATAGGATGCAGGACAACTCTGGCTATTTCACCTCATTTGTTAATTGTGTTGTAATCCAAAGTAAAAGCCTTGCAGACACGTTGTTTTTAGGGGTGCATAATGGGAAACAGCCTGGATCAGAATTGTGTGATATTCGTTCCTATAGTACAGTTGGCAGTTGACTGACGTACTTTTGATTTAGTCAATCTGTGTTCCAATTTTATGATGTTAACTAGGGGACACCAGTCTAATCCTCAAAGGGCCAGTGGGGCTGTTATTCCAATCAAGCAGAAGCACATCTGATTCCACTTGTTTAATGTATGGTAGGGTAGTATAATGTTAATATGGTACTCCACAGTGTTTAAAAATGGTAACAGTATTTCAAAATCTTCACTTTGTCAAATTTCTGTTCAATGTCTGTCTAGTAAACAACAAAACAAGCATATTCCACCCAGTTATATTTTGTGGGGTGAGGTATGTCACTGATTGGTGGTGACACGGGCTGATAGAGTGAAGAGGAGAAGAAAACAGCTAGCGCTAGCCAGGAGTTGACCAAACTAGTTGATTCACATCCAACATGCGTTCCCATCTGAAGTGGGATGCTGTTGACCTCAAAGGTTTCTTCTCCACTCCAGTGCCTAATGGAGCTGTATTGTGGTGCGTATGTTTTCTGATAGATTGAGGCCAAGGAAGAAAAACTACGTACAACAGTGACTCAATGACTGCTAACAGCTACACACACCACAGAACATATTTGATTTGGGCTGTCACTCCAACACCAGTCACTGAACACTCTCAGATATGTGGTGTGTGGCACTGATTGGATCTCTAGCCTGCTAGCTAAGCTGACTTTAATTTAGTCAGCTTTCTGTCCTCCAGCAAAAGTTGTTAGACTTCAGAACACCAAAAGCAACATAAACATAGAACCAATCAGCAAACTGTTACGCCCCAGCGGTAATACTATATACTGCAGTAATATTGGGAATTTGAAGGTTTGAAAGTTTGAAGATATGTAAAAACAATCTTAGTTCAGTCAAACAATTGAACAGTTATATGAAGTGTGTTCCTGCTTGGCTGGAAGGAAAACCTGCAGCCACACTGGCCCTTTGTGAATAACACTGGTGACCCCTGACGAAAACAATGTGAGGCAGCTAAGTACACGCATGCTGCATTAGAATGCTGTTGCTGTACCTCTGGCCACTTCATTTAAAGTCTGCTGGGCCTACCCATCAACCTGTGTTTTTTGTAATGTGTTTGTTTTATCTGCAAGGAGCAAATCTTACTGTTTTTGTTTCCTGTTGCTTTCAGAAACACTTTGGCTAATAAATATGGGGCAAAAATCTGAATCAGGTCTGACCACAAAAATGCATGGTCGCTGCACCCCTCGTTATTTGTTTCCTCTCAGCATTGAATTCTGAATCCTGGGAACTGCAGGTGCTAATCTCCATCAGAGCCATGTGCTGTTAAGTCTGTGAATTGGCCGTTAAATGTGTCAGCATGGGGGGATCATATAGCGACGGCTTTTCTAGTGCCCTGATGCCCCAGTGCCCCTGGTTTCCTCCGGATCGATGGGCTCTGCGACAGGCGCTGGCACCTGGCCCCAATCCAAGAGGATCTAAGAGATTTCCTACTGCATAAAAGGGCAGCCAGAGACTTTGATGAGAGATAGTCCTTTAGACCAAGCACAAGCAATAAAGCATATACTGAACAGAGGAGCACTGTAGGAGTGGCCTATAGGAAAGTGGAGGAAGGAACAGGCTGTGCACAAAGCAGAACAGAGAGTAGAAAGTAGAGAGGAAGAGGGAGAACTAGAGATGTGCTATGACAGGCTTGGACACAGGCCTAATTGCGTGATATGCCAGAAGGGAACATTGTAAGACTTTAGTAACTCTGGCAACTTTCACACAAGGTCAATTAAATCAGAAGCTGAAGCACACTGGTGGAGAATTACTGTAGGTAGTTAAGATGCTACTTCTGTGAACACTCTGCTTCCTCTAGACCCGTA